AAGAGAATTGGAGTAGCACTAAACCAGGTGGAAGGGATTAGGAGGACGAGAGGGAAGGTCCCAAGAGAGTCCCCAACCAAGGAAACCCCATGCCATACAATTCCCTTCCCCATAGGCAACCCAACTTTGACCTTTGTCACTATCCCAACCTCCACAATCCACCTCAACCCAACTTGGCCACACTTGCCAACCTGGTTTGGTTTCTCCCAACCATTTGGCAGCAACTACAGTAGAAAAGACGAATTTCCCAACCCCCAAAAGTCTGTACCCCATATTGAGTCAACCCCACAACTTCCCATAGTCACCACAACCAAATATCAAAAGCATACGAACTCCAACGTTCGTAACTTTCTTGTTCGTGCTCCGATTGAAGCGATACTTGGTTCCTCGGAAAGCTCTTGAGCAGAGGAGTCACTTCAGATATCTGCTCAAGCCAAATAACATTCACACACACACTCAGAAAAACCAAACCGCACAAAACACAAATTCTTGTGCACACTCACAACACGCATGCAACGCACGAACATATGATGGGAGGCAGACAGACGTGAATGCGAATGGTAGCATCACTCAACACAAGTGCGTCTGGCCGACGTGGGCAACGGGGAGGACGAGGTGCAGCAGTAGGTGCCGTGCCCTTCTGCACGGCTGGTGCGGTGATCTACGTGCTATGTGTTGGGTGCACGTAGGAGGAATTTTCTCCTTGTATTCTATCCCTCTGGGTTCTGGGTGGACCTTGTGTGTGGGTGCCCAAGCGTGAGCTGGGTAGGGGAGTGTCGAAGAGAAAGGCCCCGCCCCCGCTTGGGCGCAGCCGATCTTGCCGTCGATGGGAAGTTCTCAACGGATTGGTCGAAGAAGTGGTCTTCTGCAGTTCGACGAATGTTGCGGTCGAGCAGGCTCTGCTCGACGGACTCTGGTCGACGATCTCTGCGCGACGAACTTTCGTCGAGGAACTCTGGTCGAGGAGTTCGGGTCGAGGAACTCTGGTCGAGGAGTTCGGGTCGAAGAACTCTGGTTGAAGAGTTCTGGTCGAGGAGCTCTGTTCGACCGAGCGATGGCGAGTCCTTCGACCGAAGTTGCAGAGTTGTGCGAATCTCTGCGGAAGCTTGCGAACTTTCGCCCATGAGGTTTTGGCGAAGTTCTACCTGCAGAACGGCATCACGTGGTCGACAGTGCGCACCTGGTGAAACCGACGACACGTTTTCTACCTGGCACCTGCGTAATGTGTCTGACGGTGAAACCGCCAGCCTGCACCTACTTGGTAGGTGCGCACATCTGCGCAGATAGACAACCTGCGACTGCAGATAGTTTCCTGCGACTGCAGAAAGTCACCTGCGACTGCAGTGCTGGCAGACCGCGCGAGGTGCAACGTTGGCAGATCACTCTGCTGCAACGTTGGCAAGCTGCTCTTTTGCTGCGCTGGCAGAGTTCGCCCTTGCTAGGAGTTGAATGCCCTTCTAGTCCTTTCATTCTGCATGCCTCAATTGTACTATCAACTTTTCATAGCAAGTTGTTCTTTTCAAGTTCCTTAGTGGAAACTCTTGCAAAACTTTTTTGTGAACACAGCAAGCAGTAAGAACATTAGTACAACGCTACGATCACCCCCACAACTCCGTGCCCTCCACCGTAGTCCACTTCCGTTGTGTAGTGACTCTCCGCAGCTTTTATATTCGCTCTCTCCTAAGAGGGTCCCGTTTCATCGTTCGCGGCTGATCGGGGAATCTGCTCCTCTTGTCGGACTGGCTCGTTGGAGCCGCTCTCGCATCTCTACTTTGAATGCCCGGCAGCTGTTCCCGCGACTCTGGCCTTGCGCTCAGTTGCTCGACGCCACCTCGGAATTCATCTCTCCACAAAGCAAGTGTATTTTCCCCTCCTTCAAGGGTTGGTCAAACCGTCCCTTGGAATCTCCTCGTTGGCACTGCAGCAAAGATTATCTGGAATAACCGGTGCAATCGGAGGTATCGCGACGTGTCCACCACCTCTTTCGAAATCCTCTAGCCCATTCTCGCTCAGTTCCTCATCGCCTGTAAAGTCTTCCTCATCGCTCAGCGTCTTGCATCTCCCGGGCCACGAAACTTCGCTTCATTGAGATGTCGTTTGATGGCATGCCGCGCATTCACCGTGACTTAAGAGCTTCATGGCTGCTCAACGATTCTTTTAGACCTCCTTAATTGTCTTCCCACCATATGTACAAAGCAAACCTCTCTCCCGGAGGCTCTCTTACGGGATAGTTGAATAGCGTGGGTCTTACTCACCTTCTAATATGAGGTTGGTTTGTTTGCCATGTTCAATTTGCTCTTCGCATCCTTGTATCTGATTACGATCAATATACACATAAGCACCGCTATTTTCTTTCGGTCTATTTTCAACCCCACTTGCACAAGTGGGGTATGCACCCTTTCTAAATCTTTGACCGAGGGTTGTGTGGGGCATCATTAAATTTTAGCGAGAGTCTGTTCCAGATCCCCGAAGAGAGTACTGTAGAAGTGGCGCTATGGATTCAGATTCGCATAATAAGTTTAAATTTCGAGCATTAGGCGTCATTCATAGCCCCAGTCATCTAAGTGTCGAACTGAAATAGTCAAAAACGTGCAGGGTAACTTTGAAACGCGAGATTAGTGGATTGGGTTTCCCCTTGAAAATAGCGGTGGTTAGGTGTACAACCTTCAACCTTCTCCCTTCACCTTACCTCACGTCAGGTTGGTGGAGCCTTCAGATCCAATTGTTTTGTCGTTTTTGTTCATCCAAACGCCTCACTTGCCCAGCGCCACCAGAGCACACCGACCACCCCTACAATCACAGGTTGGGGCAGGCGCGTCCGATTCTTCCACTGTTTTGCATGTCTATTTTGGGCATTCGGTTACACCGTGTTCTGTAGTTGGTCCTTCAGGCAGATGAATTTGGTTGGGCCTTCCTGAAATGGTCGAGCGGAATGAGCTACATTGTGGGAGAGTGTACATTGCCTGCCATTGTGTGTGATGTGAAGGAGAGGGAGGAGCGGAGCGGAAGTACGACATCAAAACTGCAATGGGGGGTGGGTTTGGGGGAGGTCTTGGGGGAGGTTCGGCAAGATGCCGAACTGGCATCAAACCGGAAATGCCCAAGTCGCCGTGGAATTCACCCAAAATTGGCTCTAGGGTTCTCAGTGCCCCAAGAGGCTGACGTATGGGCGGGTGGCGGAGGCGACGCAAGAAGCTTCGCGAATGCGCCAAAGAAAGTTCTCCAAACTGCTGCTTGCTTGTGGGGGTAGGGTAGGGAGGGAGGAAGAGGGAGGGAGGGAGTGAGCGAACGAGTTTGTTCTCGCAAACGACAGTAGCACTTCGCTTGCCAACAACACCGCGCACACTTTCTGTTTTAGACCACTAGCGAACCGTACCGTCTGAACGGTGAAAGTGGTGCATTTGTCCAGCGGTTTGTTTAAATAGGTTTCAATACGTTTCAGAGCGGTAATTTTCGAACCGTACGTTCGTACACAAAAAAGACGAAATGTTCCACGCCCTAAGACTTCGACAACAGATCAGTATTAATGTAACGCGGTATACACCTAACCACCGCTATTTTCTTTCAGTCTATTTTCAACCCCACTTGCACAAGTGGGGTATGCACCCTTTCTAAATCTTTGACCGAGGGTTGTGTGGGGCATCATTAAATTTTAGCGAGAGTCTGTTCCAGATCCCCGAAGAGAGTACTGTAGAATTGCGCTATGGATTCAGATTCGCATAATGTACTTCGAGCATTAGGTGTAATTCATAGCCCCAGTCAAATAAGTGTCGAGCTGAAATAGTCGAAAACGTGCAGGGTAACTTTGACACGCGAGATTAGTGGGTTGGGTTTCCCCTTGAAAATAGCGGTGGTTAGGTGTACCGAGATCCGCTGATGCAGCATGTGAATCTCTCATGATTCATGAAGGTGGTGGTAGTGAACAGTTCTAGGGGCACCGTGGAACCTAAGCTTACCGCGCAGACCGAGCGCTGCACACCCTATTTCGCGCTAGTAGAGCATCTGGTTGCAGAATATTCACGGGTTGTAGAACGTCACGACGTTCAAAACGGTCTTGTTGTCACCTACTGTACAAGCACAACGCGAAGAATGCGGTTAGGTGAGGTGATGCACTTTACAAACAGCTTCGTCAACGTTTTTAATTGGTTGGAAAGGGTATACAGCGATTACGGAAAAAAATACGCCCTTGAGCCAGTTTGTCACGTGGTTCAGCTTTTCCCCCCAGGTTGCTAGGAACGTTTAATGCCACCATATCGCAAGAGACAAGTACTGTTGCGACGAGTCGCGCAAGGTGAGAAGGTTGAGAAAAAGGGTGTACTGTACATATTCTCAACAGACTCGTCCCGCGGTTCGCTGATTTCCACTTGCCCTTCTAAGGACAAGCACACCAGCAACAAGAAAACGGATCGAACCTTCGACCGCCAGTATCAAATAAATTTCCAGTGGAGATTATTGAAGGCGATCCGATGCCGTGTTTCTCGTATGGGCTGGAGGATACTAGGCAACTCACATGAGTAACCTGTCGACGATAGCTTTTCACCTCACGTGCTCTTGTTTCGACTACCATCCTCCCGCCGCTCACATACTCGACTCGACGCGGCAACATTGCAAACCCTAACTGTGGATTTTGACCAGACTTGGCCGACTTTTCTCGTCACAGCGCGCCGCTAGAAAGAGGCGGCATTTAGGCTGAGCCGAAGCACTGAGCCGAAGCACTGTATAGCCGATGTGCGTGGTACCTGCACTCTAAACAGAATACTTCACTTTCATTGGATAACAGCGAAACCCTAGAACGTCTGACAAAGGCGAATAGCTGAGGAGCTTTCGGAGCGCGTGCAAGCGTGACAGGTCTTCGCCATGCATCGCTGAAAACTCGCCTAGAGCCGCAGGGATCCGCCAATCATCACAGACTCGTGTTTCGCATGATGCAGTGGGGATTCAAAACATGAGGAGGTCTCCTGAGTGACTGTATTCTGCGTGCTTGTATTGGGCCCCGGAGAATGGGGCGCGGGAAGATCGAGATTCGGAAGATTGACAACGCGACGACGCGGCAAGTGACCTTCTCGAAGCGACGCAATGGGCTGCTCAAGAAGGTGGGGGGGGTGGAGGGAGTGTGGCAGTGGTGGGGGGGGGCCGGAGAGAGGAGGGGGAGAGGGGAAGAGGAGGGGAAATAGGGGGAAAAGGTTGTCTCCACGCACCCCCTGCGCGCAGCGTTCGTCCCCTTCTCCCATCCGCTTCTCTCATCCCCTGCTCGCATCCCCTGCACCCATCCCCTGCTCGCATCCGCTGCTTCCATCCCCTGCTCCCATCCCCTGCTCCCGTGCCCTGCGCCGGACCCCCGCGCCGGACCCCTGCGCCCATTATGCGCCCACTGCACCTATCCTCTGCGCCCGTCCCATGCGCCCGCCCCATGCGCCCGCCTCATGCGCCCTCCCCGTGCGCCCGCCCCATGCGCTCGCCCCATGCACCCGCCCCCGTGCGCACCCGCGTGCGGCATGGCAGGCGTACGAGCTGGCGGTGCTGTGCGACGTGGAGATCGGCGTCATCATCTTCTCCGCCACGGGCAAGCTCTTCCAATACGCCAGCACCAAGTGAGTGCCACGTCAGCACCATGTGAGTGCCACGTCAGCACCATGTGAGTGCCACTTCAGCACCAAGTGAGTGCCACCTCAACACCAAGTGAGTGCCACGTCAGACCAAGTGAGCTCCACGTCAGCACCAAGTGAGCCACACGTCAGCACCAAATGAGTGCCACGTCAGCACCAAGTGAGTGCCACCCCAACACCGAGTGCCACGTCAGCATCAAGTGAGCCCCACGTCAGCATCAAGTGAGCCTCACGTCAGCACCAAGTGAGCCCCACGTCAGAATCGGGAAAGCGTCAGACACAAGTGGGTCTGGCATGCTGTGTCAATGTAACGTCAGCACCTGATATCAGCAACCATTTGGTATTGCTGGTGGGCTGGACGGATGAGCGAGGAGGAGAGAATGTCAGATGTGGTCGCCACGCCACTCGCACGCAAGAGGAAGGCCGTGCGTGTGTGCACTCGTTTTCTAGTGAAGGAGCGTACGTGTGTGTACTTATGCGAGCGCATGTTTGGGCGAGCCTGCACGCACCATCATCGCTTTCATCTGTTCATGTGCTTCTCTCCTCCACGGTCATCTCTTCTCCCCCCTCCCCCCCCCCCACCCCCCCCAGCATGGACGCCATAGTGGAGCGGTACCGGCGCCTGGCGCTGGAGACGGGCAAGGACCATCGCCCGCCGTGGCAGCAGCAGAACCCCCCTCAGAGCATAGGCCTTGCCACGCCGCTGCAGCACGGCAAAGAGCGGCCGGGCGAGCAGCAAGCGAAGAGGCTCCAGCTGCAGCAGTTGGAAGGCAAGGCCATGGCCACGCCACAGGGAATGCTCGTATGTCGCCCTTCCCTGCCCTTCCCAGCCCTTCCCAGCCCTTCCCAGCCCTTCCCTGCCCTTCCCAGCCCTTCCCTGCCCTTCCCAGCCCTTCCCTGCCCTTCCCAGCCCTTCCCAGCCCTTCCCAGCCCTTCCCAGCCCTTCCCAGCCCTTCCCAGCCCTTCCCAGCCCTTCCCAGCCCTTCCCAGCCCTTCCCAGCCCTTCCCAGCCCTTCCCAGCCCTTCCCAGCCCTTCCCAGCCCTTCCCAGCCCTTCCCAGCCCTTCCCAGCCCTTCCCAGCCCTTCCCAGCCCTTCCCTGCCCTTCCCAGCCCTTCCCTGCCCTTCCCAGCCCTTCCCTGCCCTTCCCAGCCCTTCCCTGCCCTTCCCAGCCCTTCCCTGCCCTTCCCTGCCCTTCCCAGCCCTTCCCTGCCCTTCCCAGCCCTTCCCTGCCCTTCCCTGCCCTTCCCAGCCCTTCCCTGCCCTTCCCAGCCCTTCCCTGCCCTTCCCTGCCCTTCCCAGCCCTTCCCTGCCCTTCCCTGCCCTTCCCAGCCCTTCCCTGCCCTTCCCAGCCCTTCCCTGCCCTTCCCAGCCCTTCCCTGCCCTTCCCAGCCCTTCCCTGCCCTTCCCAGCCCTTCCCAGCCCTTCCCTGCCCTTCCCAGCCCTTCCCTGCCCTTCCCAGCCCTTCCCTGCCCTTCCCAGCCCTTCCCTGCCCTTCCCAGCCCTTCCCTGCCCTTCCCAGCCCTTCCCTGCCCTTCCCAGCCCTTCCCTGCCCTTCCCAGCCCTTCCCTGCCCTTCCCAGCCCTTCCCTGCCCTTCCCAGCCCTTCCCAGCCCTTCCCAGCCCTTCCCAGCCCTTCCCAGCCCTTCCCTGCCCTTCCCAGCCCTTCCCTGCCCTTCCCAGCCCTTCCCTGCCCTTCCCAGCCCTTCCCTGCCCTTCCCAGCCCTCCCTGCCCTTCCCAGCCCTTCCCAGCCCTTCCCAGCCCTTCCCAGCCCTTCCCAGCCCTTCCCAGCCCTTCCCTGCCCTTCCCAGCCCTTCCCTGCCCTTCCCAGCCCTTCCCTGCCCTTCCCTGCCCTTCCCAGCCCTTCCCTGCCCTTCACAGCCCTTCCCTGCCCTTCCCAGCCCTTCCCAGCCCTTCCCAGCCCTTCCCAGCCCTTCCCAGCCCTTCCCTGCCCTTCCCTGCCCTTCCCAGCCCTTCCCTGCCCTTCCCAGCCCTTCCCTGCCCTTCCCAGCCCTTCCCTGCCCTTCCCAGCCCTTCCCTGCCCTTCCCAGCCCTTCCCTGCCCTTCCCAGCCCTTCCCAGCCCTTCCCTGCCCTTCCCAGCCCTTCCCTGCCCTACCCTGCCCTTCCCTGCCCTTCCCAGCCCTTCCCTGCCCTTCCCAGCCCTTCCCTGCCCTTCCCAGCCCTTCCCAGCCCTTCCCAGCCCTTCCCAGCCCCACTCCCTCCCTCTCCCAGCCCTCACTCCCTGCCTTCCTCCACCCCCTCCGCTCCCTCCGCTCCCTCCTCGCAATCCATTGCCTGCCTTCCTGCCCGTCGCTCTCCGTCCACATGTCCATGATTTCCGCGCATGTGCTGCTGTCCTCTCAGATCAACCCTCTCTGCACTCCATGTGTCTGTCCTCTTGCAATTCTTATTCTTAAAACGTTTACGTTTGCTTCCCTTCCCATCCCTTCGCCTTGCGTCCATCTCTCCTCCCTTCTTCTTTCATTTCTTTCTTGGCCTCCCAAACGTCTAAACCCATCCCTTATCTTTTTTCTCCTTTCTCCTCCCTTTTCTTCGCTCCCATCCGTGTTACTTTTCCTTCACCTCCGTTTCACTCTTCCATTCGTGCCCCTTCCTGTCACCCTCCCTGCGTCCCTTCTCCCTTCCCCTCTCTCCCCCTTCCGCTTCCCTCCTGCCCATCTCCATTCCTTCCGTCCTCATTCATTCCCCTCCCCGCCCGTCGCATCCCCTACACTCTCGCGCACTCCAGGAGGCAGCAGAGCAACAGGATCAACCGCGCGACTTGGAGCTTTCAAGGTATGCTTAATTCCTCTCCATAATGCATGGGGGGAGGGAAGGAGGGGGGGGGGGGGGGGGGGGGGGGGGGGGGGAGGGGGGGTTGCTATGGGCTGAAGGCTGGCACGCCACTAGGGTTGGGTCTACATCGACGTTCTGAAATGACGAGATCTATAGAATGGTGGGACCATCTTGAGATCTGGTTTTGTAGATTGAGTGCGGTGAAAAGTGGTAAGCGGAGGGAAATCGGCAGGAAATCGGTGGTTGGAAATTGTGCTGGATGGCACGATGTGCACGGATCGACGGCCGTAACCGAAGCTGGGTCGGGTCGGATCGACCCGTAGTGGGGTGGCGGAGTACGGATCCTGAGAGCTTGTCTGAGGGCACCCTGCATCTGCTCCCATGCCTTGCCCGTATTGCGCTTCAAAGATCATCGCATGCACTCCAGAGTTCCTATTCCCGCCATATCGTCCCCCAAGGCAATCACCCTCACGTTCATCTCCTTCCTCCTCCCCCATCCCCGTTCCCCCTCTCTCCCCCTTCCCCCCTCCCCTGGCCTCCACCCACTACCCTGCAACTTATGGTGTCCAGGCTGCAAGACCAGCCGTTGACGGCGCTTGCTTGCCTCGACGCAACAGGAGAGTCGTTTGAAGGCCTGGGATTGGATGAGATGAGGCGGGTGGAGAAGCAGCTAGAAGCCTGCCTATCTCGATTGAGAGAAAAAAAGGTGGGAAGGGTGGGAAAGAAAGGAATGGTAGGGAAGAGGTGAGCAAGTGGGCCCAGCGGCCGCAGCACAGAGGCTGCTTCTGCTGCTCCTGGGCTGTGCCCTGCTGGCTGGGTCATTCCATTCCAGCTCCCACTTCTGTGGCATGGACGATTAGGCGATGCGATGCGATGGGTATTGTGAGCCGTCTATCGGCTATGCCATATGCGGTGATGACTGCATTCTTGCCCACCGCCCATGCCGCCGCCACCGATGCTGTTCCTGACGCTGCCGCTCAGATGCCATACCACTGCTCATGCTCATTCCACACCTCATGTCCCCAATCCCGCCACCCTCCCCCCCCGCCCCACTGCCACTGCGCTCCTCTGTGTGACCTCGCCCGTGTGGCAGGAGGAGCTGTTCAACCGAACCATCTCCCACCTCAAATCGCGCGTACGTTGCCCTGCCTGCTGCCTCATTCCCGATTGCGTGCCTGCCTCTCTATCTTGCTGCATGCATGCCTCTTGTCTTGGCATCCCTCTCACGATTCCATCCATGGGAGCTTTACAATCGTCTATGCTTCTGCCTATCCCAATCCCACGCCCTGTCCCTTGTCCCACGCCCTGTCCCTTTTCCCACGCCCTGTCCCTTTTCCCACGCCCTGTCCCTTGTCTCACGCCCTGTCCCTTGTCCCACGCCCTGTTTGTCCCACGCCTTGCGGCACACCTTTTGCAGCTGGAGGATAAGAGCAACGCCGAGGCACGCGCAGGGGCGGATGCTGGTGGTGAGGGAATGGTGGGAGCAGGAGGTGGGGAGGCGGTGAGAGCAGGGGATGAGGGCGAGAGTGGGGGCAGAGAGAGGGTGGAGGATGGAAGGGAGTGCCCGGGGGCAGACATGGAGGGACACCGCGAGGAGGCGGATGTGCAGGGCAATGGGGATGGGGACGCGGAGGGGTATGGGGAGGATGGTGGCGAGGGGGGTATCGGGGGGGGTGAGGAGGATAGGGATGATGATGACTGCAGCGATGCTGGCGCTGGTTTTGGTGCTGATGCGGATGCTGCTGCTGCTGGTGATGATGATGCTGGTGCTGGTGGGGCAGCAGTGCCATCGACAGCCATGGGGATGGAAGGGGGCGTGGATGGGTTGCAGGAGAGTGACTCCGATGACGATGATGATGACAATGACGCCATTCACCACGCCTTCCCATTGCCCGCTTCTTCTTCCCACAGCCATGCCGTGTCAGCCCGTCCCTGGAGCCACCCGTCTCACCCGCACAGCCGTGTGCACGGCACCTCGCGCGGCATCTTGCATGCACATGCCGGTGGGCGCCCAGCAGGTGTGCCGGTGGGGCGTGGCACCGCGCACTCACGCGAGGCTCACCCCGCATCACCTCACCGCTCTGCACCGTTATCTGCCGTTTATGCTACCAGTGAAGGCGCTGCTGCCGCTGCTGCGGCTGCGAGTGGAGTGGCAGCGCTGGCGGAGGCAGCGAGGGCGATGGTGAAGCAGGAGGCGATGGAGGCGGCAGAGGCGCACGGGACGGAAGCTGCTGCACTGCCTCTTCCCCCTCCCGCACATGCACTGCCCAACACAGCGGCTCAGGTGTGGATGGGTCGAGGTGAGCCAGAGGGGGCATTGAGAGGCGATGCGGCAGGGGGTGCAGCAGCAGCTGGTGGTGGCGCTGATATCGCAACGCCTGCAGCAGAAGGGGACAGAGCCGCTATGGAGGGTGCCTTTGAGGTCTTGCCAGTGGAGGCGTGGAGAGGCAGAGGTCCGAGTGATGGGGTCCCAGGCAATGGGCTGTCGATCGTTGCGGCCTTGCTGCGAGGGAAGCGCGGCCCAGATGAGCCGCTGGTGCAGGAGAAAACGAAGCTGCTGAGAAGGTTCTGGATGGATGCGGAGGGGGGTCAGCAGGGGGATGGGAATGGGCAGCATCAGCCTCCTCCTAAGCAGCAGGCAGAGCAGCAGGCAGAGCAGCAGCGCGACGAGAGTGGAGCACATGGAGCGGGCAGTGGCGAGCGTGTGCAGTTGGGGTTGACAGGCAGTGCACCTACTCAGCTGCGCACGGGCTCACATGGCCCTGGCCGTGATGCTGCTGCACAGCAGGCCGTGCAGGCACGCAGCACAAGTGGTGCACCCGGGCCTGGTGCTGCCGGCATGCCGCATGCCACGCCACCCGAACCTGTCCCTGCTGGTGGTGGGGCTGGAGAGAGGGCGGAGAGGATGGAGGAGTGGGGCCCTTGGCAGCTCCAACAGCGGCTGCTCCTGCTGCAACACGTGCAGCAGCAGCTGCAGCAGCAGCCCCACGGGCAGCAGCAGATGCAACAACAGACTCAGCAGCAGCAGCAGCAAAACAACGTGCTGAAGCCTTGGAAGCAACGGGATTGGTTAACAGGTTTACAAGAGAAGCAGCAAGAGGTGGTGTTGCAAGCGGGGGAGGTGAGAGAGGAGGGCGCCTGTGGACCTCGGGCAGCTGAGCAGGGGAAGGGAGCCAAGGGAAGGGGTAGTGAGACGTTTGGTGGGATTCAAGGCCCGCGCGTGCAGCCACAACAGCCATTGTGGCAGCAGGAGAAGGATACGAGGTATGGTGCGACACATGATGGCGGAGTGAAACAAGGCGGGGCGATGCAGCTCGGGAGCTTCTCACTGCCGTCTGCATCCACCACCGGTGCAGCCCACGCAGCCCACGCAGGCCACACAGTGGCCGCTGAACCCCTTGCAGTCAACAGCGCGTTTCCCGCCACTGGAAGTGCCCCACAGCAGCACAGGGGGCTTCCCCAAACGGATCTGAATATCGGGTAAGATGTGTGCACATGATGTGGTCTCATGTTTGTGGCCCCGATGCTTTGAACTCATGTGTTCTCACACCCCAATTCTCTCCCCCCCCCCCACCCTCCATTCCTGTTGTGACACCATGTTTGATTGTGCATCATGCAGGCTGTACGGCGCCTTTGATGACGATGGTCTCACACCATATGAAGGACCCTACTAGCATTTGTTCGACTGTACAATAGCATGCTCTTCGTCATTCCAGACGTGTTTTTGCAGTCCTTGGGATATAAACCCCGATCTGCAGATTCATGTTGGGCTGAAAAGCCCTTAGGATCTTTGCAGGACTAAATTCGTGGTAGGACTGATGTAATAGCGGAAGCGTTTAATGAAAGGTTGTGAACCACCTTGCGCTGGTATGTGAGGGCAAAGTAGATTGATTAAAGCAAAGAGATACAATCTTTTATAAGAGTACAAGGGAATATGAACAGTTATAACTAATAATTGTTTTGCTGTTGCTGTTGCGGTTCGATACAGTGACGACTCGTGCAACTGCTCAATAGCGAGTCAGTTGTTTGTCCTTGCTGTCGCGCTGTACTTGTCAGGTCAAAGGTCGCTGACCTTTGACTTTCGCGTAACCTCCAGCAGTTGTTCAACCTCCGAGGGTTGACTCGCCGATGCTTCGATATGTTCTGCTTCGCTTCTGACTTGGTGTTTCGACACGACAGGGGCGCTTAAGTAACTTGTTTCCAACACTCCCCTTCGCCTCTGGAGTGTCGCTGCTGGTGACGTGGCTCTGTCCAGTCAGCAGCATGCAGTACTCGAACTTCTGCTTTCCGAGCTTCTTGGTCAAGTAATCAGCTGCCATCTCGGACGTGGGACAGTAAGATAGCTCAAGTCTCCCTTTCTCGATCTCGTCCTTCACGAAGAAATATCGCAGGGCGATATGCTTCGTCCTGTTCGCGAATCCGTTTTTTTGGCTATGCGAATTGCCGACTGGTTGTCGCAGAACAGAGTGAAGCTGGGTAACTGAGCCAGCTTCGCTTCCTCCAAGAGTTCGCGAAGGTACAATCCTTCCTTGGTGGCTGAGCAGAGTGCGATATATTCTGCTTCAGTTGAGGAGAGAGCGATTAATTCCTGCTTGCTCGACTGCCACGAGATAGGTCCGATAGGCTCGAGGCGGTAGATGTAGCCTGTGCGCGAGCGCCTGTTGTCAAGATCTCCGGCGTGGTCGGCGTCGACGTAGCCGATTAACTTAGGCGTTGTAGTTCCGTTCTTGTAGTAGGTCAGGCCGATCGTTGGCGTGCTGACGAGGTAGTGAAGAGCGCGGTCGGGCTCCGCCATGTGTTCAGCTTCAGGCCTTTTAAGGTAGGTGGCGAGTTGACTTGCAGAGTATGATAGGTCCAGGCGGCAGGTGACAGCTGCGAAGAGAAGGCATCCCAGCTTCCTCTGGTAGTCGCGTATCCCGGCAGGCTTGAGTGGAGTGGAGCCTTCCTTGTGATTTCCTGCCGTGTAGCGGTATGGCGTAGAAATGGTAGTTGGCGTGAGTGCGAAACGTTTGGCGATGGTGTCGGCGTATTTCGCGGCGTTGAGGTAGATCGCGCCTTCTTCTTCCTGGATGTTGAGGCCGAGGTACTGCGTGATGGTGGACGAGACCGTGAGCGTGAGATCCTTCTGTAGCTCCCCTTCGAACCAGGTAGTGATGTTGTCGGTCGAGCCGATGTAGAGTAAATCGTCCACGTAGACGATCAGTAGGATGTAGTCGGTGCCCTTTGTGAGCCGATACATGCCCTGGTCGTGAGGTAGCTGGCGGAATCCAATGCGAATGAGCCGAGCGTGTAAGTACTGCTGCCACAGTCTCGGGGCCTGTTTGATGCCGCACAATGACTTCAGGAGCTGACAGACGTGATTAGGTTCTCCGTTGGAGCCATGTGGTAGTTCGACGAAGATTTCTGCATCGACATGTGTGTAGAGGAATGCGTTGGCGACATCAATTTGCCGTAGTTTCTTCTTCTTCATGGCGGCGATCGCGAGGAGAATTCGCAGCGAGATGTGTCGGCTGACCGGGGCAAATGTCTCGGTGAAGTCGCGTCCGTGCTCTTGGTCGAAGCCGCGTACGACCCAGCGTGCTTTAAACTTGTCGATGGTGCCGTCTGCCTTTGTCTTTACACGAAAGACCCATTTTCCGGTGAGTACTATCTTGTTTTGTGCCACGCCGATGGGAACAACTTTCCAGGTGTTCCGTTCTTCCATTGCTTTTAGCTCCTTGTCCATGGCTTCGCGCCATTTTTCCTTATGCTCCCCCCCCAGAGCCTGCTGAACAGTGGCAGGCTCCTTAGGAAGCGCGACGCCGTGGACCGCGGTGACGAGGCCGAGTATCTGGAGGCCACTCTGTGTGTAGCGGGGGAGTGTTGTGTCCGCGGGATAAGCTGCTTCGTCACTTGCTTCTGGGTCAGGTATGAAGTTGGGCCCTATGCGTTCTGCTACGTTGGTGTTGACTTCTGCGCGTGTAACGTAACCGTTGTCGGCAAAGTGGTAAAATACTTCGGCGTTGGCGCTTTCGCGAGGATTTTCGTCATCCATTGGGACGTCGACGGAGCAGTAAGGGAGAGGTCCGGCTTCCTCTGAGGCTTCATCCACGTTCTGCTCTTCCCAGTCAGCTTCGTCTGCTGCCGAGGCGAAGGCTCGGTTACCACAGAAGCCACCTGTGGGGTCCCGATCTTCTTCCAGGTTGGCAAGGTACGTCGGAAGGGTGAGTCGTTCGTAGAAAATGACATCACGTGCTGCTACTGTTTCCTTGGAGTGGACGTCAAAAATCTTCCACGCGTTGTAATTTCTTTCGATGCCCAGGTGTAGTCCTCACTGTGCGCGTTGGGAAAATCGGCCGGCTCGTGCAGATGGGGGTCGGTACTGTACCATGCAGCCGAAAACTCTTAACATTTTTGTGCTGCCCTGTTTTCCTGTCCACAGCAGATGCGGTGATGCGTTGTTTGGGAGCGATGATGACGAGAGCAAATTGTGCAGCATGACAGCGTGGTCCATTGCTTCGGGCCACTGGTAGTTGGGCAGTCGCATGCCTCGTAGCGGTTTGCGCATGGTGTTCTGGAGAGTCCTGTTCATCCTTTCTGCTACGCCTTGTTGCTGGTGAGCGTAGGGAAGAGAGATGAGCCTCTTGATCCCTCTTTCTGCCAAGTACTGCTTGAACCTCTGTGAGGTGTATTCTCCTCCTCCGTCTGACTGGAAGCTTTTTAGCTTCACGCCCGATTCTCGTTCTGCTACTGGGAGCCAAGCGACGAAGGCCTCGAAGGCCATGTCCTTGCTCGGTAGGTTGAGGTGCCAAACGTAACGCGTAGCGGCATCGATGAACGTGATGGTGTAGCTGTATGCTCCTTGTCCAGGTTCGCGGTTGTACAGGATGTCGCTGTACACTTTCTCGAGTGGTGCGTAAGCTGGTGCGCTGGGATTGTGATGAGAAGCGAACGGCCGATGTGGTAAGTCAGCTTCGGGGCAGGTAAAGCACATTCCGCGAGCTCGTCGAAGTTCGCTTCCGTTGGTTAGGATCAGTGAATCTTTATCGAGCACGCCTGCTCTGATTGTGTTGTTTAACACCGTGTTGCTTGGATGTCCCATTCGTGCGTGCTAGATATCTTCGGTGGCGCGATGTCCGGGTGAGCGCCGATATATGTCGGAGTTGGAGTAAAAGTTGGCGGTGAAGTTGGCGCTTCGATGGACTTCCCGTTGAGTTGGGTTCAGCTGCTGCGCAGGAGTTGGTGAAGTGTCGTCGATCGGTGCTGTTGAAGGACCAGCGATTGGTGTTGATGTTGCCGTTGCTACTGCCGTTGTTGTCTCTGCTGCTGCCGGTGTTGTCTCTGCTGCTGTCGATGTTGTCTCTGCTGCTACCGATGTTGTCTCTGCTGCTGCCGATGTTGTTTGCATTCTTGCTAACGCTCTTGTTCGTTCTGCCTCAGGGATGGTGTGCGAGTACCAGAAGCCTTCGGGACTGAAGTCGGGGTCAAGATCTGGTGAGTGTGTCCAGGAGGTGAAGGTGACGATCCCGTCGCTGTCAGCGGTGCCGAGATCTGGGACGAAGTCGAGGACGAAGACGTTATTCTTCATAACTGCCTTGCCGATGTAGAGACCGCCCTTCCCGTGGTATAACTTGAACTCCTGAGTGGTGCTATCTGCTTCGAGGTGGATGCCCTTCACCAGGAGCCACGTAGCGAGCCAGAAGGCCAAGAGGGTACGCAAGGTCAGGACGAGTGCAGGTCATCAGGTACATGAGGCAGCCCACTAGCTCTGGGTAAGGACCACTCGGCTCTACGGACTCGTCCGAAGGTGGAGCTGAGAGCGAGTGACGTGTAGCCAGAGGAGTGGCCTGTGCCGAGGACCAGGTGAAGCCGAAGCACTGAAGGACCTGCTGCACCATGTGTGACTGAGTCAGTGTGATGGTGCGGCGTGCTCTGTCCCGGGTGATCTGCAGGCCAAGGTAGCTGCGCAGCTCACCCAGGTCTGTGCACGTGTGTCTCTTTTGCAGCTCCGACTTCACCAGGGCGAGCGCCTCAGTGTCAGCAGTGGCAAAGACCAATTCGTCGGCGTACACGAGGATGTAGAACGGCGGCAGCGAAGTGTCGGTGCGCAGAAACAGCGACGGGTCAGCAGTCGACGGGGCAAACCCAAGAGCCGCAAGAGTCGTCCTCAGTGTGTCGTGCCACTCACGTGGCGCCTGGCGGAGACCATAGACTGGCCGTCGGAGGCTCCACTGGGTACCAGGAGGGAACGACCCAGTGAAGCCAGGTGGACGGCGCAGCCAGATCTCCTCGTGCAGGCTGCCCTGTAAGAAAGCTGTGCTGAAGTCAAGAGAGTGAAGCTCGTAGTTACGCTAAGCGGCAACGTGCAGCAGCACCCAAAGAGTGGTCATCTTCGGGGTGGGGGAGAAGGTCTGGAAGAAGTCAACTCCCTCTCGCTGACTGAAACCTCGAGCAACGTAACGAGCCTTGAAGACATGTGGAGAACCTGGCGGCCGCTTCACCCTGAAAATCCACATGCCACTGACGATGTTCACCCCAGGAGGGGGAACCTCGTCGACGTAGGTGCCTGTGGACTTCCAGGATGCCATCTCTGCGTCCATGGCTGTCTGCCACTGAGAGGAGTACTCACCCGCGATCGCCTCAGTGTAAGAGCGCGGGGTCGGGATGTCTGGAGCATCCGGGTCTCCCTCAGGGG